CTTTAGAACTCAGAATTACAGTTAGGCCATGATTACCTCTGTGTTAAAATATGTATGCACGTGAGCAGACTAGAAGGGAATATCCCCAAGGTGAAATTGTTTATTATGTTGGAAGCAGGAAATTGACACAATATATTTTCATTTCTAAATCTTAAATATTGCTACCAAGACCTCTTTTATCACTTTGAAAAAAGGTTCATAATAATAATTGTGTACAATAAGAGCAGAGCCAACTTTTGGGACACTTTTGACAATCCAACATAGAGTCACTCTCAGCCATGACAGTTATGCCAAGCACTATGTCAAGACTGAAATAATGAGGATTAACAGGAACACCCTGAGAAGAAGACTAGAATGCCCAAAACCACAAGGCTGGACGCTTGGATAAGGACTCCATCTGGACACCAATATGAGTGGTACCTCTACCCCTTCTCGGACTATAAGATCTCAGAGCTCCGACCACCCAACACTTGAGCTCATCTGTCCCGTGGATCACACCGTGTCCTGTGGGACTTCCACTCACCAAATGCATGCTGCCATTGTAGCTGCCAATGCATGATAGCTTGAGACTGATGCCCGCCTCTCCACCTGTGGATGCTACCAATTACTGGGGCTTCATACCAAATGACCTCTCTGCTCTCTTGTGTTGAGTAAGCTCTTCCTCTCTGTGTGTAACCTCTGTGTGACTTTATTGGCCTACTGGGAAGGTCTCTCCTAATATACCCGGCACTGTGAAAATACACAAATGCATGTGAGTGACTACTTTCAGAGATACTCCCTTGCTCACAACAGTAATGTTAATAATAAATATCTTATTTTAGAGAAGATCAGAGTTACCATCACACCCTATATGGTTGAGCCCTGACCAATGTCAGTACTCAGTAGAAATTATAAACAAAAATAGGGGCAGCTGACACTGGATGACTAATTTTGTGTTTTCAAGTAAGAAAAAAGATGCATCCACCATCTACTATCAGGATAATTGCCGAAGATAAAGGCCATTTTAATACCAAACTAGTATACTAATGAAGTATCAGAGGCAACCACGGTGTCCATGGGCACCTGGCTAATGGTGCTATGGTTGCTAAACACAAACACTCCATCTATACTTGGAATGCTGGTAGGTTCTACTAAGGCTTCCTGTAATCAGCACTGTCAAAGCCATACCTAATACCTATTAGTCTCATTTTTTCTCCCTAATAGAAATCTTTTCTGGCTTTTAATATTTATTCATCCACCCTGTTTCCAGTTGTAGAATGGGATTCAAATTTAGTCTAAGTCAATTATCCTGTGGTATTCCTCTGGTAGCCTTTTTTAATAAAAGATAGGCATGTGACCTATTTGATGAGAGGGAAAAACTTACAGATCTAATACACAGGGTGACCAGTGACTACGTATTTAATTTTGTCTAAGACAGTCAAGGTTTTTATGTTTTGTCTTGGTGTGATTATTAATAGTGTCTCCTTTTATTCTTAAAAGCCTCATGGTCTGGAAAATAACTATATGTTCATCCTTATTATAAACCATTCCTGGGGGAGATATTTTATTTCTCCCTCCCACTGAATGTAAATAAAAATTTCTATAGCTCTGTTTATAGTCATCCTGAGAATATGAGGAACACTTCTCATAGGATAACCATGACTCTTAGGTCTGGGAAGTGAAGAGATTAAGGGAATCCCAATTCTTCTTCTTTTTTAAAAATCTCACCTGAAGGTATATGTTTATTGATTTCAGAGAGAGAAGGGGAGGGAATGGGAGAGAGAGAGAAGGAATATCAATGTGAGAGAGAAACATCGATTGGTTGCCTTCCATACGCACCTGGTCCTTCAACCTAGGTATGTGCCAGAACTGGGAATCAAACCTGCAGACTTTTGGTGTATAGGACAATACTCCAACCAACTGAGCCACTCAGCCAGGACAAAGAATCTCAATTCTTGATGACATAATTGAGTTGTTGACTGCATAATGCCTGAATCCTACCCCACCTCACCCTACTTCTACTTCTGTAATCAACAAATTTTATTATTATGTGTGATGGATTGACTTGTTACTGTTACTTACCGACCAGATGACCCTAACTAATATATATCCCAAAGAGTAATTCTACTCTCCTTCTGTAATGTCTCCCAAATCTGTATATAATACATGCTTGTCAGACATGCTGATACTCTTTCTTCTGAGAAATTCATGTCCTTGTAAAAACTGCCAACTCTATCGAAAGCACCATATTTCCCCCCAAAGAAACAACAATTTCTTATCATTAAAGATAAATGGGAAACTCCTAGAGCAATATTTCTAATATTCCAATGTTAGAATCATATAGAGAACTTGTTCAAAATGCAGATGCCAGAACAGTAGATCTGGGTGGGGCCTGAGAGAGCACAGTTCTAACAGGCTTCCAGGTGGTGTTCACGCTGCCCATCATTGACCACACTAGGAATAACAAGATCCTAGAGGACTCACAAATTTAAAATATTAATATCATTTCATAATCTCCATGCATTCTAGCCTCCTAAACCATGAATTATTTGGCCTCCCAGTTTCCTTCCAACTCGCAAAATCTGTTTAGCTATTTTTCTAGTAGATAATTTCCCAAGGCTATTCAAAATAGACAGATGTTTGATAGCAAGGTTGGAAGATGTATTGGAGATATTATTGATGGAATAAATGTTCCTATTTGTTTGTTTTGAATATAAAAGAATTCCAGAATAAATTTGAAAGACTCCTCTTATGATTTTTTGCTTTGTGGACAGTCGAAGATGGTGTAAAACTTGTGGGCTGATAGTCAACTTCAGTACAGATTCTAGCTGATAATGAGACTCCATTAAATCATTTCACCTGGCTTAGTTTTTTTCTCATCTTTAAAAATGTGCAGATCAGACCATCTGCAAATTTTTTTTCAGAACCAAAACTCTACAAACACAATAAGCAACATTTTGCCTGTGGTTTACAATCATCTGAGACTATGATGTTTGTGGCACACCAGCAGTTTGCCATCGACTGATCCCAGACTCTCCACCAAGTCCTCTGGCTTCAATGCCTGTGGCCCAAACCAGTGCCAACATGGAGAATTACCAGTGACTTATACCTGAGGCCAGGAGATTTCTTGCATCAGCAAGATCTGTTCTGAACTTCATTATGCATCAGAATCTCTGTGAGACTTTTGTTAAAACACAGATTACTGGGCCCCATGCTGAGAATATATGGTTTAATAAATCTGGGGTAGGGCCTGAGAATTTGCATTTTGAAGTCCTTGTGGGTAATGCTCATGTTCCTGGTCCGGGGACCACATTTCGAGAACCACTGAGCAACGCTGTAAACTTAATGGGAAACTTTGGGCTCTTCTTACTTGTTGACTAATTCTTCCCTTCACAACTCTGCTAAAAATCTGTGAGGTGCTCTACAAGGGGCCAGTGTGTGTCATGGAAGCCCCCCAGCTGTCCATTTCTTGGGCTGGCATCATGTGTTAAATATTGTAATTTGTCTATGCTCCTTATTCCACATATTTTTAAGTAATTTTTAAATATACATTTAAAAAAACTGAAAACAATATGCAGATAAGCAAGCAAATTACTTGCAGTTTTCTCACAGTTAAAAAGTATTACATATTTATATATTTTCTCTAGAGTTTTTCTCCTTTGGAATTAGGCCATGTATATAATTCAGCATTCCGATTCTTTTATCTTTCCACCTCATACTATATATAGCATGAGCACTTTCTAGTTTATTAAAATCATAATATTAAATGGCTTCATTATATTGTAGACATGATTATTAATGTGGTTTAATTATTTCTCCCATGAATAAATACTTTTATTTTTCATAATTTTAAGTGGCAAATGACAGACATCTTTACTACTACTCTGATATCTTTCTTGAAATATATTCTTAGAACCAGTTACTAGACCAAATTGTGAGCCTTTTTAAGGTTCTTAACTACTGCTGAATTGCCTTCCAAAAGGTCACACCAACATATTCTTCATGAACAATAAAGGAGCCATCTCTTACCTCTTGGCCCCAGGGACTCTTCTCTCAAAATCTTTGCTAGTTTAATAGTGAAAATGTGCATTCCATTAGTGTTTCAAATTTATACATCTTTGATTATCCTAACGAGTCTAAACCTTTTTACTTGTTTATTGGACATACATATTTCTATTACAGTGATTGTCAGTTTCTATACATAGTTTTTTTTTCTTTCAATTTTATTTTGTATTGGTTTCAGGTGTACAGCTTAGTGGTTAGACAGTCATATATTTTGCATAGTATTCTGCACCTCAGTCTTTTCAGTACCCCAACTGACACCATCCATAGTTACTGCAGTATTACAGACTGTATTCCCATTACTTTACGTACATCCCCATGGCTATTATGTAATGCTAATTTGTGCTTCTTAATCCCTTCACTTTTTTCACCCAGTTGCCCAAACCCCTGCCCCTCTGACAACCACCAGTTCACTCTCTAAGTCTATGAGTCTGGTACAATTTTGTTTGTTTATTTATTTTCTTCTTTAGATTCCACATATAAGTGAAATCATATGTCAGTGGTCTTCCTCTGACTTACTTATTTCACTGAGCATAATACCCTCTAGGTCTATCTATGCTATTGCAAATGATAACATTTTGTTCTTTTTTATAGTCAAGTAATATTCTATGGTGGAAATGTAACATAGCTTTTTTTATCCATTTGTTCATTAATGGGAACTTGGGTTGCTTCTATATCTTGGCTATTGTAAATAACACTGCAATGAATATAAGGGTGCATTTATTCTTTTTAATTAGTGTTTTGGGTTTCCTTGGATAAATCTCCAGAAGTAGAATCACCGGGTCATAAGGCAGGTCCAGTTTTACTTTTTATGTATGTTTCTACATATAGTTTAAAATATATGTATTTTATATTGTCAAGCTGTATATGCCTTCTGAGGAAAAATAGAATTATCATTAAAGAGAGAAAAAACTTATAATTCAATAATACAAAATTAACTACTGTTAACATATTGTCAGGCAGGATCCAAGATGGCAGAGGAGTAAGTGGAAGCTACACTATGCTATCCTTTTCCCAGGACCAACCTGGAATTACAACTAAATTGTAGAGAAACCATCCTGAATAACTAACTGAACACTAGCTGGCGAGAAGCCTTATAACAACGGACAGACAGAAGAAACCACTTCACCACAGCGTGACTGGTATGGAGTGCAGAGGAGACATGAGAGGGCTGTGACCCATGGGTCACAGCTGAAGTGCCAGAAGAAAATTTCAGTGCCTGGGAGGTTCCCCCTGAGAAGTGGGGGGGTCTAAACCCAAAGCTTAACTCCCCCAGCCTACAGCACCAGAGCCAGAAAGGAACCCAGATAACATCCATCTGTGAAAAGTGGTGGCGTTTCTACCTGCTAGGAAGGGATGGCTGGAGACACAGAGAACCTCTTAAAGGGCCAATGCATAAAATTTCATTCACAGCCACTTTCCCTGGGCTCAGGCAAAGTGGGGGCAGAATGGTGTAGAGACACTTGAAGGGAGTCTGGGGATGATGACTTTGAGGAGAGAACTGAGGGAATAGCCACCAGGACCCCTTTGCTGAGTCCCCATACTGCAGGAGCCATCTTCTTAGACAGAGCAGTCCCCTCTAAGTGGCATCAGCCTGAGGGGAAGCAATAAACTCACCTGCAGGAATTACTCTGCTCCACCCTGAGGTGCTTAAACGTGATTGCAGATTATAGATGGACTAGATTAACAACTGAGGTAAATAGCCACAGTCCATAGATTGACGTTTGTCTCCAACAGGCTGCCATCACCAGACGGGGACACCATGTGACATCACCAGGTGTGGATCCAGAAAGAGAAGAAAGTGGTAAACACTAGATTATACTGAGATGAATTCCACCATGGTCTTCTTCATGATTTGTGTTATTTTCTCTTCTTCTAAGCTTTTAACATTCCTTTTTTATCCTTCAAGTTTTTGCCTATTAGGTCACTAGTTTTTATATTGTAGTTTATTTCAAATCTCATATTTTGCCCCCCTTCTCTTACTCCATTTTGCCTTCTTTTTCTTTTTTTTTTTTAAAGATTTTTATTTATTTATTTTAAGAGAGGGAAAGGGAGGGAGAATGAGAGAAACAGAAACATCAACCTGTGGTTGCCTCTCATGTGGCCCCCACTGGGGACGTGGCCCCCACTGGGTACATGGCCTGCAACCCAGGCATGTGCCCTGACTGGGAATTGAACCTGCAACCCTTTGGTCTGCAGCCCGCACTCAATCCACTGAGCTGTCCCAGGCAGGGCCCATTTTACCTTCTTTCCTCTTTTTATTTTCATTTTAAATTTTATTTTCTCTCTTGCTATGACTTATTTCCATTCCACACTCTCACTATTTCTCCCCCCTCCAGCCTCTCAAAACCATTTTTCTTTTCATTAATAATCTCACATTCTTTTCCCCATTCTTAAAATACCCTTATTCTCTCTCCACCTTCATTCATCTTTGCTTGTTGGTTGTGGACATGGTGATTGCTGCGTTTCTTCAATTTTGTTTCTAGATCTTCACCATTTTTGTATTTCAAATCTCAGATTTTATCATTCACCTCTTCTTCCATGTTACCTTCTTCCTGCCCTTTCCTTTTTTAATTTTAAATATTAATTTTCCCCTGCTTTAGCCTGGTTTTCATTCCTCACTCTTAGTATTCCTGCCCCTCTGTCCTTTCAAAGTCACTTCTCTTTCCTCTAGATACCTCTTAAGCTTTTCTTTCTTTCCTTTTCCCCTTTATTCCAATCCCAACTGTGTTAATCTTTGCTAATTTGTTGTTGATAGTGCCACGGGGGATGTTTTTCTTCCATTCGGTTCTTACTTTTTTCTCTCTCTTACTGTATATTTTTAATTTCTGCTTAAACCCAATGCTACATGCTTACCATCTCTTATTCCAGTCTGCCTTCTTCCCTTTATTTTTTTATTTATGATGTAAATTTTACTTTCTTTCTCTCTTTTCCTTGTCTCTATTCCTTAATCATTGCTCTTCTCAGTACTCTCTCAAAACCATTTTTTAGTCATTTCATATTTGTTTTTTCTTTCTTATAATATTCTTAACCTCTTTACACCTTTATTAATATTGTCTCACTTGCTTTCAATACTTTGGTTGTGGCTGGGGATTATTTTTATGGGTATGGGTTTGTTTCCTGAGCTGTTTGGTTTTGTTCTGGCAGCACACGAAACATGGTGGGTGGAATGACTCTCAGTCAGTGAGCCAGAGGGAAGGACACACCAAAGAATGACCCAACAAGAACCAAAATGCTATTACAACCAGAAAGCCCACATAAAGGGCATAAAGGGCAACCAAGAGAATCTAGCTCAGAAGGTCAAGGAGACTCACTGCTGAGTCCCAAAGGTCTCCTACCACAGAAGTTCATAATATGAAGACAGGGAGTCAAAGCAGATCACATTTTTTTGCCAATACATCCTTTAGGGCAACAGAATAAATAAAAAAATTTTAAAATGGGACTACATCAAATTAAAAAGCTTCTATATGGCTAAAGAAAACATCATCAAATTGAGAAGGGAACCAACCAATATGGGAAAACATATTTGCTAATGATAAGTTGGACATGGGTTTGATTTCCAAAATATATAAAAAACCCATATGACTCAAAACCAGGAGGACAAACAATCTAATTAAAGAATGGGCAAAGGACTTGAACAGACACTTCTCCAAGGAGGACATACAGAGGGCCCAGAGGCATAGTGAAGGATGCTCAACATTACTAGTCCTCAGAAAGATACAAATTAAAAACACAATGAAGTACCATCTTACACTGGTCAAAATGGCCACCAGTAACAAATCAATAAAAAATAAGTGCTGGTGAGGATGTGGAGAAAAAGGAACTTTAGTGCACTATTAGTAGGAATGCAGACAGGTGGAGCCACTGTACAAAACATTATGGAATTTCCTCCAAAAACTGAAAATGAAACTGCCTTTTGACCCAACAATTCCACTGCTGGGATTATATCCTAAGAACATTTAAACACCAATCCAAAATAACCTAAGTCACCCCTATGTTCATAGCAGCTTATTTACAATAGCCAAGTGTTGGAAATAGCCTAAGTGCCCATCAGTAGATGAATGGATCAAAAACTATGGTACATTTACACAATGGAATACTACACAGAAGAAAGAAAGAAGGAACTCCTACCTATTATAACAACACAGGTGGAATTGGAGAGATTATGCTAAGTGAAATAAACCAGTTGGCAAAAGACAAATACCATATGATCTCACTTAATAAGAGAAACCTAATGAACAAAACAAACAAATGAGCAAATAGAACCAGATACATGGAAACAGGAGACTGACAGTGACCAGAGGGGCACAGGGAGGGGGATAAGGTTGGAAAGAAGGGGAAGGGTCTATTCAAGGAACAGATGTATGTGACCCATGGACATGAACAACAGGGGGGATTCACTGTGAGTGTGGGTAGGTTGGGTAGGAGAGAGAAATGAGGGAAAATTGGGACAACTGTAACAGAACAACAATAAAAAATATTACCAGAAATTCTTATTTGCATATGTGCATACGTTAGTCTGTATTCATTTCTATATTTTGCTTACAAACATAAGGAACATTTTTAGAAGTTGTTTGCCAAAGTGAGGTTGCACTGCACGTAAAGTTTATAACTCACCTAAATTTAAAGACATAAAAATTTTTAATTCAAAAATATACCTTTAAAAGAACTCATACAACTCCACTCCAGAAAGACAAACAACCCAATTAAAAAATGAGCAAAAGACTTGGACAGACACTTCTCCAAAGAAGACATATAGAGGGTCCAGAGACATATGAAAAGATGCTCAGCATCACTAGCCATCAGAGATGCAAATTAAAACCACAGTGAGAGACCACTTCACATTGGTCAGAATGGACATCAAAAACAAATCAACAAACAAATAAGTATTGGTGAGGATGTGGAGAAAAGGGAACCCTAGTGCACTGTTGGTAGGAATGCAGACTTGTGTAGCCACTGTAGAAACAGTATAGAATTTCCTCAGAAAACTGAAAATGGAACTGCCTTTTGACCCAGCAATTCCACTGCTGGGATTATATTCTAAGAGCCCTGAGACACCAATTCAAAAGAAACTATGCACCCCAATGTTCATAGCAGCACAATTTACAGTAGCCAACTGCTAGAAATAACCTAAGTGCCCATCAGCAAATGAGTGGATCAAATCACTGTGGTACATTTACACAATGAAATACTACACAGCCAAAAGAAAGAAGGAGCTCCAACCCTTTGTGACAGCATGGATGGAACTGAAGAGCATTATGTTAAGTGAGATAAGCTAGGCAGTGAAAGATAAATAGCATATGACCTTACTTTAAAGTGGAACCTAATCAACAAAACAAATAAGCAAGCAAAATATAACCAGAGACATTAAAATTAAGAACAATCTGGGATGGGAAAAATAGACAAAAAACTGTACTTGAAAAATAACTAAATAAAATTAAAAAAAAAAAATTAAGAACAATCTAACAGTAACCAGAGGGGAAGTGAAAGGGGATAATGGGGGTTGGGGGGATGGGGGGATGGGGGGAGAGGGGAAGTGGTTTTAGGAACAACTATAAAAGACACAGGGACAAAACCAAGGATGGATGGAAGCAGGGGAGGACAGTGAGGATGACTGGGGTGGGGGGGACTGGTGGGGGGTAAATGCAGACAACTGTGCTTGAACAACAATAAAATAATTTAAAAAATAAATTGAATATATACCTTTAAACATTTTAATATACTGAATAAAATTTAATTGTGTATATGCATGCAATATTGAGCTAATTTTCTATTTAAATCATTATTTTTAATGGGGGTATATCATTTATTATCAGGGAAAATTTATAGAGATGTAATTTCTGAGTGAAAAATTTACACATATACATGTATATGTATTTTCTCTTGACTATAAGTAAAATATAATTTGCTAAAAGTTTAAATGTTACAGAGAAGAAATGCTATTACATATTATTAGTATTAAATTTAAGAAATAGACTATATTTAGCAAACTGTTATATAAATTGTCCTCTTATATATTGGTCAACTTTTCCATCAATATCCTTATTTGTATTTCACCTTCATAATGATATATTGCTATTCCATTCTATAGATGAACTATAGTTTAATACTTCCTTTAATAATGAATTTTTAGATTGCTGTTATATTTTCCAATATGTATTTATACACATTTGTGACACTTCTTTTAGATAAACTTCTATAAGTGGAAATACTTAGTCAGTAGCCATAAACATTTAAATACTAAAATTTATTTATAAATTGTCCTTTTACAAGTTATACTCCACTAATAGTGTATTAGAATGCTCATTTTCACATGAATTATAGACATTTGAAAGATTTGGGTATATGTTGTTAAACAATTATTCAGAAGATTTGAACCAACTTAGGTTCTCTGTAGCAATTAAAAAATAAAGGGATGAATGAGAAACAAAGAAGAAAATAAAAAATTTTGCTTTCTTATTCAATAATATGTCAAGATTCTATTTGCAATCTTGATTAATGATAAAAATGACCTTAATTCTCTATATAACTTCCACATAGAAAAATAACATAGAAACTATATTGTACTTTCTCCTCCTGAGAAACTGATCCATTAACAAATAACCTTTCCCATTTCCTACCAAAGTGCTAGTGTCATCCTTAGAGATTTATAGGAGCTTTCTGCAGCTCAAGGTCTTTAAATCACTAGCATTGATGCCCTTGCTAGACTCCTAACAAATAAAAAAAATTTATCACACATACATTAGAGTATATATTTACTCATAAATTATTTCTAAAACACCTTCTAGTCAAATGTTTTCTTACATCTTTAATGTAAGCAATGTAGGCA